GGATCACTGTTGCTGCATCCCATAAGGGGTGGTATGTTGTATTTTCATTTCATTTGTCTCAAGGTATTTTTTGTTTTCTCCTTTGACTTCTTTATTGATCCAGTGGTTGTTCAGTAGCATGTTGTTTAGTCTCCACATATTTGTGTTTTGCCCAGCTTTTTTCTTAGAGTTGATTTCTATTTTCATAGCATTGTGATCAGAAAAGATTCTTGATGTGCTTTCAGTCTTCTTAAATTTGTTCAGGCTTGCCTTTTTTCCAACATACGGTCTATCTTTCAGAATGTTCCATGAGTACTTGAAAAGAATGTGTATTCTTCTGTTTTTGGATGGAATGTTTTGTAGATATCTATTAAATCCATCTGGTTTAGTATTTCACTTAAGGCCACTGCTTCCTTGTTGACTTTCTGTCTGGATGAGCTATCCATTGACGTAAGTGGAGTGTTGAGGTCCCCTTCTATTATTGTGTTTCTGTCAATTTCTCCCTTTAGGTCTCTTAGGAGTTGCTTTATATAATTTGGTGCTCCTGTGTTAGGTGAATATATATTCATAAGTGTTATTTCCTCTTGGTGGAATGTCCCTCTTGTCATAATATACTGCCCTTCTTTGTCTCTCATTGTCACTTTTATCTTGAAGTATGCTTTGTCTGATATAAGTATGGCAAAACCTGCTTTCTTTTGCTTGTCATTTACTTGGAGTATCATCTTTCATGTCTTCAGTCTAAGCCTATGTTTGTCTTTAGAGCTGAAATGTGTTTCCTGGCAGTAGCATATTGTTGTGTCTTCTTTTTTAATCCATCCATTCACTCTGTGTCTTTTGACTGGAGAATTCGATCCATTTACATTTACAGTGATTACTGATATATGAGGGCTTAATACTGCCATTTTATCTCTTGTTTTCTGGTTTTCTATATTTCCTTTTTTTCTCTTCCCTTGTATTTCTGACTGCCATTTAGCTTTGGTGGTTTTCTGTGATAGTTTTCTCTTTATTTATGATTAGTGGCCCTATTCTGATTCTTTGTTTAGCGGTTACCATGAGGTTTGTATATGAGATCTCATAGATGAGATAGTCCATTTTCTGATAGCCTCTTATCTCCATTAGCCTAAGCAGGTTCCACCCCTTTTCTCTTCCCCTTCTGAGTTGTTGTTGTCACCAATTATTCTTTTTTGTGTTGTGATTTTATGAGTAAATTGAAGTATTTAGAGTTTTTTGTATTTTGTATGTAAAAGTATGTAGAGTATTTTTGATGCTTTCCTTCCCTTTATCTTTTATGTTATAATTATGTGTGTGTTAACCTGTTCTGATAGAGAGCTGCTATTTTCTGGTTTTGTCTGTCAATTTATCTCCTTGCTGAAAGCTTTGTATACCTTTGCTTTTTTGTTACAGATAGGAGGGCTTCCAACACCATTTCTTGTAAGACAGGTCTAGTGGCAATGAACTCACTCAGCTTTTGTTTATCTGGGAAAGCTTTTATGTCTCCATCGCATCTGAAGGATAGTTTCACTGGATAGAGTATTCTTGGCTGACAGTTTTTGTCTTTCAGTATTTTGAATATATCATTCCATTCTCTCCTAGCCTGTAAGGTTTCTGCTGAGAAATCGGCTGGAAGCCTGGTAGGTATTCCTTTGTAGATTATTTTCTTCTGCATTACTACCCTTAATATTTTTTCTTTGTCATTGACTTTTGTCAGTTTTACTAGTATGTACCTGGGAGAAAGTGTTTTTGCATTGATGTAATTAGGAGTTCTGTTGGCTTCATGTGCTTGTAAGTCTAGTTCCTTCCCCAGGTTTGGGAAGTTCTCAGCGATTATTTCCTTGAACAAGCTCTCTGCTCCTTTCTCCCTCCCATCTCCTTCTGGAATACCTATGATCATTATGTTGCTTTATCTAATTGAGTCAGATGTTTCTCCATTTTAAAAAAGTCTTAGTTCTCTCTCCTCCGTCACCTGAAGCATTTCTAAATTTCTATATTCTAGGTCACTAATTGTCTCCTCCATCAGGTCGGTTTTATTTTATACAGTTTTGAGATTTTTTTTTATCTCATTAATTGTGTTCTTCTTATCCAGAATTTCTGTATAGTTGTTTTTACGTGCTTCAATCTTTTTGTTGATGTATTCCTTCTGCTTATTAATTTTACTCCTGGCTCATTGAACTTTCTTTCTGAGTTTCATTGTATGAAACTCACTGAGTTTCTTTATGACAACAATTTTGAATTGTCTGTCATTTAGACTGAAAATTTCTGTGATTTTATGATTGGCTTCAGGAGTCTTGCCATTTTCCTTATGCTCTGAAGTGTTACTTCAGTTCTCCATGGTGATGATGAATTGTTCCTTTGCTGGCACATTTGTGGTAGTGTCAGGTCACAGATTCCACCTGCCACCGCTGCAGAGGCAGGAGCTCTGTTTTCTGATCCTGCCCCGTCTGCTGGAAGTTGTGCTGGTATGGCTGCTCTGCATTTTTGTGGGCTGGCTGTAGCCACTTGGCAGGTTGCAAATGGTCAGGCAGAGTCCCAGTACTCAGGAGGTGGGTTACTCTCGTGTGGGCTGGGCTGCTTCCCTTTGCAGGGGACTGGCTGGGCTGCTGCACTAGGCAATTGGGCATCTTTGCAGGGGCAGAGCCACTGCTACTCTAGGGGTAGCGTTCCTACAGATGGGGCCACCAATGCACAGTGGATGCTCCTGTGGGCTTGGCCACACTCCAAAAGCCATCATGCTTGTGGCTCGCTGCCCTGCCTCCTCTTACAGTTGTGTCAGCTGCTGTGTGATGCACGACTTGGATGGTTGCCTCTGGGGATGGGGAGGGGTCTGCTGACCTAGCTCCACTGCTTCCAGGGGATCCAGTCCACCCACCTTCAGGTGTCTGGCTGCATGGATCTCTCAGGTGTCCTGTTGTGCAGTGTAGGGAATCCTCTGTTGGTTAATGAATGTCTGTTTAGTTGTAACTTAGAGGGGAGAGACAAGAGAACAACTCCCTCTGCCATGATAGTGATGTCACTCCTCTAAAACTTTTAATTTAGTCATTTATTTATATTATATCAGTGTGGACTCATCGTATTCTGCTTTATTCAATGAATTGTGATCTATTACTTTAAATGAAGATACAGGATTTGAATTTCTCTTAAATATGGCTCCAATGCAGGGGTAATTGGTTCTCTGGCCCAAAATATGGCAAAGTTTTTCAGTTCTCAGAACTAGATGTCAGCTATCTCCTCTTCCTGATATGACTCAAATGCTTATGAGCCTTTGCCTTAACTTGTTTGCCATTACAAAGTTCCTTTTGAAAAACCCAATTAAAATTATAAGTAGTTGAAAGTTATGGTGTAAAGGCATTCTAACAATCAATTCTTCAAACTTCTAAAACTCTCTACTGGTTTCAACTTCATTTAACCATTAGAAATTAATTCACACCCATAGCCACACTCTGAGCTTATTTATTACCTAAAATTTTCTGTTATAAAATACACTTCAAAATCTCAGGCCCTGGGCCAAATTTCTGAACCTCTGATAGTTCTCCCAAACTCATTCCCATCATTTCTGTTCTTTAACCTCATTAAGTACCCCACTGCCTCTCTGTTCTTCAAGGCACCTGCCTCCTGCCTTGCCTTCCCTTCCCAGCCCATTCACTGCATGGTTTTCTCATATTACTGGGTCTCTTTCCACTCCGTCAGTTCTCTTGACCAAGTCTCACACTTATGCGGTGAAACATCTCCTTCCTCTGCTCTATTCTTCGGCTGCCAAATTCTGCTGAAGAAAATTTAGACCTTGTTCAAATTCTCCAAAATTCATGGTTTATGTAATCAGCTTGGATTCAGGACTGACTGGGAAGGATTTGGAATATATACAGTCCCCTAAGAAATGCTATGTTCTAGAAAATAAAAATTGTCAATTCTTGACCTTTATGTATTGACACACTTCAAGGTCAGTTCTAGGCCGCCTTCCTTTCTTATCACATTATACTCTCTCCCTAGGATCTCTTTCTTGTCTTTAGCCACCTTTTTATTTTTTAACCAAATTCTGGAATTATCATGTTTATTCAGTAACTCTAAAACTTTTATATTGAGCATCACAAATTTAGAGTTTTGATGATATCCTGCATTTGAGTTCAAGACTCATATATTTAAGGGCTTACTAGACAACTCCATTTGGATGTGTCAAAAGAAATTAAAACTCAACAAGTGGAAACACCAACCCAGGGTCTTCTCTTCTCTCCAAAACAAAATCTTCTTCCATCCAACCAGTGGATTAGGCCAGAAACTTGGACATCATTTTTGGCTTTTATCTCTTATTTCTGGCATATATAATGTGTTGCCAGATTCTGTGGATTTTACTTCCTAAATAATTCTCTCAGGTGTCTGTTTTTCTCCATCTCCACTCCTGACATTGTAATAGGTTACTAACTAATATCAGTGTATCCACGCTATTCTTTCCTCTCCTCCCTTTACATCATAGTAGCCAGAGATATAAAGATGTAGATGTGATGATCTCATTCTCCACTTTGGACAAATAAATGAACAAAACCTGTAACGGCTTTTCATTTATTTTAGATAAAATTGAAAGTTCTTAACATGGGCTACAAATCCTTTCATGTTTTGGTATGAGCCTACCTCTGCAAACTCAAATTCACTACTTGTATTTTGAATTTTTTTTTAATATGATAATATATTTCTGAATTATCTTTTCTGTATGTGGTGGGCCACTTTGTTGTAGAGAAGGAAAAAGAAGAAAAAGCAACAAATAATATGAGTAAGTCATTTTTTAATTGACAATGTATTTCATAAAATCAAAAATTTAGACATGTAAGGATCCCAGATATCTCCTAAATTCAAGTACATGTGGGTGTCTAGGTTAATAAGATTAGTAGATATAATTTTTGAGATAGCAGATGATATTTCAAATTTAGGATAAGATAGAGTGTTGAAGTATCTTTTTATCTTATCTTGAACTTTTTGTCCAAAGGGGAATTATCATGGCCAAATAAAATAGGCTTACGTGTGTTTGTAGAAAGACATGCTATTTCAGCCGTTACATTCTTAGTAATGACTATGAGATTGGAAAGGAAAAAGAGCTAAAGAGAACCTGTTATCTCCAGCGATTAACATACTGGAACAACCGTAAACTTCCCTCTAAGTTATTAGCAGGCTACTTTCTTCTAAGGGGAAGAGACTCTGCCCAAGAAGAGGATGCTGTTGGTCTTATTATGCTTGATGAAGAACAGGAAAGGATGATCACAATGGAAACTGTAAATTCGTGGTGACGACAATTCTAAGCTTATGCCAGTAGCAGCTGCAGCCTCTGTGCCCTCCTCAGTCACCTCCACAAAGGACTTGTGTAGGATTTTAGACACCACGAGACCCCGGCTCCCAGTCATGCCCGAGAAGTCGGCATCCTGTGGACTGAAGGCATCCAGCATCCCCATGGACTTCATTGTGTCCTTGAGGTCATAGCTCTCTTCCACTTTGAACCGAGGTAAATATAAAGCCACGAGTGTCTCTCTCATATTCGGTGAGGTAGTCCACTCTATTAGTTTCTCAGCAGTGAGTTTATCTTCAAGCTATAAAAATGGAAAAAAGAACAACGGACGTGATTCTCAGTGGACACCCAACACAACGTTAACATTAGATTGAAACATGTAGAAAACCTTTATTTTAATAGAAAATGTAATTATGGAGGGTTCAGTTTATTCAATTTAATCTCAGGAGGTAAAAATAACACAGACATGGATATATATTATAAAGTCAAATAAATGTACTTATATATTCATGACTGTGTTATTTTTATGCATATATGGACACATAAATATATATATAAGTACACATATGTATACATGTATATATATATGCATATACATATATGTGCCACAACAGAATAATTAAATAAAATTATTTTGTCATAAAATTACCTATCCCATTTCTTATCCTCCCTCCCTACGGCATTTTCCATAATCAAATAGACTTCTGTAATTAATGTCTATGTGTACATAATTTTTTATATACTGCACTTATAGCATACACCCTATTTTTTTTTCTTGGTGCGGAAGATTAGCCCTGAGCTAACATCTGTTGCCAATCCTCCTCTTTTTGCTGAGGAAGATTGGCCCTGGGCTAACATCTGTGCCCATCTTCATGTACTTTATATGTGGGATGCCTGCCACAGCATGGCTTGACAAGTGGTGCATAGGTCCCCACCTGGGATCCGAACCCAGGAACCCCAGGCCGCCAAAGTGGAGAGAGCAAACCCAACCACTATGGCACTGGGCTAGTCCCGCGTACACCCTATTTTTATTCCTTTTTCTTGCTTGACTTATTTGTAAACTTTTCCCATATAGATATATATTTCTATAATCAAGTTTAAATTGTTATGTAATACTAGTATTCAATTACTATTTATTGTATATATATTTACTTAATTAATATTTTTAGAGAATTCAGTGTGTGCCAGTCTGTAAGCTCAATTATCGGCGATGAAAGATGCAGCATCATTCCTTGGTGTGAATTTTTCATTGTTTTGAGCCACTTCTGTCCAAAAACTCTTCCTGGTTTAAATTAGTTAGCTTAGGATAAAATCCCTGACTGGGGTTCCTGATGTCATAGATAACGAGGATTTTGAGCTGGAGTACGAGTATTGTAATGGCCCTTCACATATACTGTCATATTACTTTCCCTTAGGCTCTATCTCCAATTTCCAGGGTTACCACAACATATATTTCGAGTGTGGCAAGTTCACTGCAACTTCAGTATCATCATTGACTGTTACAGTAATTTCAGATGGCCATTTGTGGAATGTCCTTATTATGCCAGATATTGTTATTGGTATTTTTACGTATTAACTTTACCTATAATAACAATGCTAAGAGGAAAATTCTATGATTCTTTTTTGTTGTTTTCTGACTCCCAGCAATGAGGGTCTGAATGACTTTTGAATTCCTAAGGACAGAATACTTCCAAATTGAAAAGTAGGCAACAAGATAAATCTATTTGACCACTGTACCCTTTGGTATTTTCATTTTCTCATTTTGTTTATTGAGTGAACTTGCAAATATTTCCCTGTGTCACCATATATCAGTGTGAATTTCCTTATCCTCAAATGAATACACTGGAATATTTCAGAGCTTCTTGTGGTTGCAATATATAATGTGTGTGTTTAGGTGTATTTTTTTCTGAACTGACACTTCATAGTTTCATCAGAATACTCATGGGAACTGTGAGGGTGATTTTCTATATATTCTTCCATATCACACTGTGATACTTAGGATATTCATTTTTTGGAACGTGACATGTGGCCAGGTTCTCCTTAATAATTCTCTTTTAGGCTGTAGGCAGGGAAGAAATGGTGTACTCTGTACTTGAGCTTTGCAAGCCACCACCTGTCAGCACTGCTTCCACGAATAGTCCATACAAGCATTGCACTACTAGGAAATTGGGCAAAAGAAGGAAGAATTGGAGGTACAAGATTTTACCTTCTTTAGACCATCTACTTCATTTGGCAGCAGCAACACCATGCTTAGATCTTTGCCTGTGTACGGTATTTCCAGGATCTTGGCTTGCACGTCCTCCAGTTCAGTGAATTTAAAGGAACTAGTTTGTTTCATCATCTGCACAGATTTGCTGGTATCCTGCAGTAATTAATATGGAAAAGAAATGCCAAGTGAGGCATAGGTCAAAGAAAGATGATACTATTAAGATACCAGCACATCTTTTTTCTACAAGATTATCTGGGAAAATGTGAACTAGAGGAAGAGTCTCTTCAAGTATTCCCAGCTAAAGTCAAGAAAATGAAACAAGAAGAAAATAGACAAATTCTATTTTCTATTCACACTTGTACATTTTATCAGATATGAGTTTAAACTTAACATTCCATATATAACTATATTACTGTCATAAATAAATTATAGACAATACCTTGTTCAGCCAAAATTTTTCCTCCACAGTATTTTTTTCGTCAAATTTCCACTGCCAATGCCCTTTGAAATAGACCGCGTTCACCAGAACCAGAATGGCGGAGCTAAGCGAGCCAGGGGGAAACAGATCCTTGATTTTTCCTGCAACACAAAGAAAAACAAATGTCTGTCATGAAGGTACAAGTGGTTTGTCTGGAAGATGCATGAAGGTACAAGTGGTTTGTCTGGAAGATACTTTGAAAGTTACAGTGGACCATTAATTATTCACACAAGTCACCACTTTAGGGACTCCGTGACCAATAGTTCACGAGGTGAGGTGCAGCTTTCCTCATGGCACCATCCTGATGGAGTTACCCCTGATGGGGACTTCCCTTCTTATCACTGGAATGGTGTTCAGAGTCTCTGTCTCTCAGAGTGAGTGGGTGGGTGGGTGGGAGACTCAGGTCATCTCACAATGAATATTTATAAATGGATTTTAGTTATCATTTCAGCAAATCCATTCCCTCCCTCCCTCCTTCCCTCCTTTATTCTTCCATACCTCCAGGCTTGACTCCTCTCTCCCCTCCTTCTTTTCTGTTTTTTCAACTTTGGGCTCACTACTCAGACAAAGGAGGGCTTGAGTGTTCTTTAGGACAAATGGCATGAACTCTATTTAATCTGAAAGACTTGTCCAATGCTGCCAGACAGCACTCCCTTGCGGGTCTTCCTCTTCACTCTCCACTTAGAATTGCTGTAGCTTTGGTCTATGAAAGGAGTGGGAGGTAGGATAGGGGTTCATAAAATGGAGACTTTGTCAAGCTCTCTGTCCTGGATGGGGATGACAGCTGGGATCACCCCTCAGGATGTGGGGATGGAGAAGTGGGCAGGCAGCTGCAGCTGCAGGTGGCAAGGAGGGTAGTTTACAGGAGAGCTGCTTGTTTGCCGATTAACAAAGGACATGGGAAGCCTTTCTAATGGTTCTCTTAGGGAACCATATACGGAAATTAAGGCTCTGACTTCAAGTAAAGGATGTGAACCCAGGATGGCATCGGAGCAGAGAGTTGGAGTCCACAAAGATTCTGTCATTGTGGCCATGAGCAAACACAGATCTCCAGCTGTATTTCCAGGTTGCTGGTCCCGGACCACATCTTGGGTTCCCCTTATTTATCTCCGCGTTGCTTGGACCGTCCCGCCACCTGCAGGGCTCTTCTCTGTTTTCTGCAAACTCATTTCATTTCCCTCTCCCTGCATCCCATGCAGTGTCAAGCACAGGGTTCATGCACAGCAGGAACTCAATGTGTTTCTTTATGGGTGATCTCCCATACTCTACCATTCGTTTGGCTTTCCACCCAGGAATTAATCTTCTTGAGACTTTCTTCTGGAGCCTTTATAAAATCAGCAGATTCCACACTGGCTAGGTAGAATTTCTTAACATTATCCATGTATTCCTTTGACATGGGAAGGAAGAAAAGAGGAATTAAGAGTAATTTATTATTAACTATGTATTCCCAAGTGAGTTGTTTTCAATCTTAACAAAATATAGCACAGGAATCCAGACTCTAAAGAAATGTACATTTTCTTGCCCCTGCGTATTTTTATACAGCTCCCATGGGGGTAATGTGAAAGGGAAGTATAGGATGGCACAAAAATGAGGTCTCTGAAGGGCAATACCACCTGACAAAGCCTGGAGGAGAAGAAGCTGTGGGTTGCAAACTGCAAAGCTTGTTGCTCCAAAGGAGGTGTGCTCGTACTCCTCTCCAGTAATACCCATGAATCAGGTCCTCATCTTTGCTTATAACTTCCATGCTGTGCATTCAGTATCCCCTGGTACTTCCCTAGCTTTCCCCAGGGACTCATCAAGCCTGCCCATACCATCAGTATCCCATTCACCATACACTTCCTGGGTCACTGCCCACCAAAATTTACACTATATGACTGAATGGTGTCAGATCATTAGGGGCACCTGATGACTTATTCTGCTACTGAATCTGCCCTTTAACAATAAAGTAACCCCTAAACCCACACTTTCTTGGTGGATTGTCGACCTCTAGGACACTCCATTGAGTATAGCTGTGGCAAGGGAGCCTTGCACCCTGGGTATATTCTCCCTATGTGGGCCAGCCAGGCTCATCTGCTCACTCTCCTCCATTTGGTGATTGGGAGACAGAGTACCTAGGATGCAGATTAAAGGTGTGACAGGACAGTGAAACTTACCTGACGAAACTGAAACTTCTTTTCTCCATAGAGCCTGTTGGCGATGTTCAGCTCATAGTCATTAGTGGGTTTCTTTAATTCAGTCAGAAGCTTTTGAAACTGGTGATGCACGTTTCTCGACTTTTCAACCTTCAATCATCAAAAAGTGAACTCATTGCATTCTCTGTCAATGTAAATACTAAACCCAGGTAACTCTGTTAGAGCCATCCCTAAAGGTTGGTAACCCCATGAATGACATTTGTTGTTATTCTCTGATATTGGTGTAGTTTACCTGAATTATTCTTGAAAAGTTTTACATTCAATGTCTTCAAGGCATGTCTTTGTCTCTGCTCTAAATAATCCTCCAGTCTTTTCTCTTTTGGGGTACAGATGCAGCACCATTCCACCATTGGAAAGTCCTCTAATTGGTACCTACGATTAGGTTAAACTTCCCAGCTAAGCTTAAGGTCCTTAAGGGCTAGAAACATTTTCATTTTACCTGCCATCAGTTGTATGAGAATGTTGAATTTGTGTGTTTCAATGATGTTATGACATGAAGCCCTGTACACTCCTAGGTGGTGTTCTCTTGTGAGACTGTTGAGTGTGATCCATGTCTCTTCACTCATGATGGTCATACTCCAAGTGTAGGAACAGTGTGTGCCTGGTACACTGCTAAGGCTTTGCATCTGTATCTCTACGTCTTTAGTCCGATTCAGATGAAAACAAGAAAGCTCAGAGAACGAAACAACCTCTGCAAAGAGACACAAGGTAGCAGAGCCAATTTTTGAACCTAGGCCTGTGTGAATCCAGCACCTTCCACTTGCTAGCTAATACTTTTATGCTATTAAGGCTATAAACCGTATAGTTAATGCAATTATTTTGGAAAATATTCTTGGATGTACGCTTATTCCTGTTAATCCCATCTTTGAGTTAATTAAAATTACATTAGTTTATCAAGTTTATTGTGATTACTGTAATTACTGTTATTCCATAATAATAATCCATAATATGTATCAGGGTATCCAGTAATCCAGACATGTAGTGATGTTTTGCGTGTATTTGCAGGTATTGAGGCAGATTTTCCATTACTGCCAGTTTATTGGCATGAGGTCACTGGGTCTCAGAGCAGTTATGCCTGCCCATGGTCCCTGTTCACGAACAGCAGAGGAGGAATTTGAAGCTAGTCTCCCAGTTCCAGAAGCCGTGCTCTTAATCACTATGCTGATCTCCTCTTAGGAAACAAAAATGTGAAATAAATAAGTATGTAATATGAAATGAGAAGCAGCTCTGCCTGTCCAGTGTATGTTGCCCCAAATTTCCCCTAAAAATGGAGTTTTCGCTAAAATTCCCAGTTTAAACTGTGACCCTCTTGGATATGTGACTCTCCTTCTAGACCCCAGCGCTCCGTGACTCACGTGAGCTGTTGAGGCTCTTCCCCTTGTGCTGTCTGTGACGTCATTAAAGTGAAGGACCTGGAAGGGACAGGAAGAGGGACAAGAAAACTTTACTCAAAAGATCTGTCTCCATTAGAGGAAACTAAAGGAAGAAAGAAAAACAGAAATAAACCCAAACTAATAGATGAAACAAAACCCCCAAGCCAACCCATAATAATAATAAAAAAAACAATATAGAAGCAAAGGAAGCAGAATAAAGAAAGCTTCAGTGTGAGCATTTCCTCCTTGAAAAACTACAGCAAAGCTGATGGATCACCAGCTGCTTCAAAGAATCCTGATTCATGACGGATGGACGGCTTAGGAGTCATGTGAAGGTGTTTCCCATGGAGCTAAGTCAGTGCATCACTTCTCCCAGTGCTCTTGCCTTTAAGCCTCGTGTCTAGTTGTTGGGCAGTTGTAGGCGTTTGTCCCAGCTCCCAAAGGAAGTTGAGGCTCAGGGAGGCAGATGGGGCAGAGCACTGGGGGAGGGGGATGCCCCCACAGCCCTGTGCTCACTCGGACGTGGGAATCTTGCTCAGCCTCCTGTGCTACCCCTGGGACAGCCAGATCTGCGAGCATCTGCACACAGGCCAACAGAGAATTCAGTCTAACCCGGTCAATGTAAAGGGAGCTGACACCTACCTTGCCAATTTGGAGTGCAGTGTTCCCTTGGGCCCCTGAGTAGGTCAAGGCTAACGCTGAAGAGATGCTGAGAGGGGAGTAGAAGATGTTGTCCTTGTTTGATTTTCTGAGCTGTTGGAACAGATCAACTGCAAAGTGGGTGTTTGCTTCACTGAGTGAATTCATGGCGGCCACGGTGTGATCTGGAACTCCTGGAAAAGCATCAGGTTCATTTGAGAATGACTTTACTCAAGACAAGGTTGGTGTGTAATGAAATTTTCTTCGAAGAAATGACTTGTATTTGGGTTGTGGGATTCTGGCAATTGAAGTTTTTCATCTTTTTACTTTTCAACTCTTTTTCAATATACTTGTATAAATTTTCTAATTAGAAGATTATCAGAATTACCATTTAAAAATACTTATGTGAAAAATTAATGGAACATCCTCATCTTTCCTTCCTCACTGGCTGTCCTAGACGTGGGTAGAAAATGTTTTATAACAGATCGGAAGACCATGATCCGTGTAGATAACATCCAGCCAGCTCCCATAAGGCACATCTCTGACTTTCCCTTCAAGGCTCCGTGGGTGCCAGACACCCTCCCCTCCACCACATGTACTCCTAAAGGGGCATTTGCTTCCTCAGAAGGAAATACATCAGATAAATGATAAATCAGGTGAAGAGGGTGTTTCAAATTTGCCCCCTCAGAACAAGTACATTACAATCATAGAGAATGAATGGGTACATGATGTAAAAGGCACCATTGTTATTATTTTCAAAAATGCTTCATGTTGTTAAGTGGAGCAGCTGGAAGCACTTACCTGTGTTCCTGGAGGAAGCAGAGGTGGGCAGGGAGCCTGGAAGCCCGTGTGAGGTGAATGGTGAGATCCTGAATATATACCTCTCTCTGCCCACCTCCCATTGCTCAGGGCATGTGGCATTTCAAGTCAATCAGCTTTTGATTTCTTAATCAAGCTAGCTGTCACCTTCATGAACAAGAAATATTTATGAGAAAATAAACACGCTTATAGTTCTATTACTGTACTTCCTTTTAACCTTCAGAAAACATTGTGGCCCTGCCATCACTGGCTCATATGAAATGCATGGAGGTGCCTTTCCAGTACCGATGAGAATTAAGTTAAAATCCAATTTTCTCACATGCTCCCAGCCACAGTCACCCAGAAATAACCCCTAAAATAACCCTCTTACTTCTCTTGGATGTTGAATTGTCTTTAAGGCCTAATTCAAACACAATTGCAAAACTTACATTTTCTATTTAATTTTCTAAAAGGGCTGTTCCACCTGTCAATTTCTGTAGTAATTATTCTGTATAAACAGGAAAATAGCTCGAATTCTCAGTCTAGAGAGATAGCGACGAGGTGTCGCAGCAGGACGTGGGGAACAGGAATCTATTGCCTTCCCCTAAAGGCTGTGCCTTGACAGAGGTCCTCTTTGTTACCTCCCCTGCCCCCTTGCAGCCAGTCCCTGATTTTCCCTTTTGTTTTAAGGTCAGTGGGAAGCTGATTTACCTTGTGGTGTTAATATGCTCTCAATGAGACAAAGAAGTGATACAAACAGGGGCCATTTTGCATGGCAGTAGTCTAAATTTTGTATTAATATGAGGTAGAAATAAATTGTTGGAGCTCCGGAATCATGACATTTCTTTGTCACCCTGCCCTTTAGCACATCACCTCCAGATTCATGGAATGAATATCTGGCTCAAATGCCTAGAAGAAACCATGAGAACAAGCTGTTCTTTGAATGCTATGGTTCAATTTCTTTTTTTTTTTTTTTTAATTTTATTGAGGTTTCATTATTTTATAACATTTTATAAATTTAAGTTGTACAGGTGATAGGTGTTCAGACTTCGGTATAGACTCCATTGTATTCACCATCAAAAGTCTAGTTGCCGTCTGCCATCATGCATATGTGTCCGTTCACTCCTTTCACCCTGGCCCCACCCCTTCCCTTCTGGTATCCACCAATCAGGTCTCTATGTCTATGTGTTTGTCTGTTTATCTTCCACATATGAGTGAAGTCAGATGGTAATTGTCTTTCTCCATCTGACTTATTTGACTTACCATTATACCCTCAAGATCCATCCATGTTGTTGCAAATGGCACAATTTTCTCTCTTTTATGGCTGAGTAGTATTCCGTTGTCTATATTTACCACAACTTCTTTATCCATTCATCTGTTGATGAGCCCTTAGGTTGCTTCCAATTCTTGGCTATTGTGAATAATACTGCAATGAATATAGAGGTGAATATTTCTTTTCCGATTAGTTTTTTGATGTCCTTTGGATAAATATATGGTTATGTTTCTTATCACTGGAAGCTTATTGTCTTCATGTGCATGGGGTTTCAATAGGTAGAATAATATTAAAAACTCTGGACTTTTATTGAACAGGGAAATATATTTGTCCATTTGCATCTTTAACAACTCATTGATGCAGGTCCCTTTGCTGTCGCCGTATCACAGAAGACAGAAATAAGGCACAGAGAGGTTGAACAGAAACCCAGGTTTCTATGGATAGTGATTTGCACAGTGAGGTATCCTGGCAGATAGTCTGGCTCAGACCCTGCGTATGTATCCACTTTCCAGACTGTGTTAGACAGACTCTTGGTTTAAAAAGACATACCTCCTTATGTTTAAATGCAAGCAACCTTTCTCTTCTGCATTCTCAGAAGAGATGAGGTCCTCCCGTTACTGAACCTGAAGTGAGTTCACTCACCTATCGTGCAGGAAGCCAGTCTCTGACCCCGGGTGTAGTGGAAAAAGGAGGAATTCTATTGCAAAGTGCTGAGCAAAGAGAATGTTCAGCTAATGCTGCAATCCCGAACTCCCTGAAAAGCTACAAGCAAGGGTTTTCACTTGGGATTTTAGGTAGGGGCGAGGGAGCATGTGGCCTTGGGGGCTGAAGTTCTAAGTGTCCTCCACACAGGGGTGACTGTGTGTTCTGTGTGTTGCATGCAGTGATTTTTAGTCTTTGACATCTAAAGTTTACAATCAGGCATGTTAGCTTCTCAACGCTCCTACAAGATGCTTAGTCAGGCTGGGGGCTATCAGCAAGTTCCTTTCCTCTCAGTGTTCCTCCTGTTGCTCTGCAAGGCAAACTCAGAAACTTTGGTGATTTTTGTTTCCCATGTTAATCTTGTGGGTACAAGGCACAGTTTCAGCCTAATCCAGAGAAATTTTAAATTCTTCATCCTCAGTTTCAATCCCACCCAATCCAAAGGGGTGGGAGAGGGTCAAATACTAAGCTCCCAAACTGCTCTCTGTGGGCCCCACAGTCACCAGGAGAGAAGGCTGGCCTTTCAGACACCTTCTTAGGGCTCCGTCCCGAGACAACCAAGAACAGTAAGTGGGGATAGGATCTGGGTGATTTTCTCTGAGTGTGGGGCTCAGAGAGAGCCTGAAATCATCCCCAACCCTCTGTTCCCTAAACAGCTCTATCCAGCCGGGATTTAGTAAATGAGGAACTCTGAGAGGGAAAGGAGGCAGACAGAAGAAGTGTTTTTCCCCAGAGTGCACTGTCCCCGGAGGCCTGGCTGTGGCTGGGGAGAGGGCTGTTGTTCCAGGGCATCTAGCCCCATATGTCCCCTACGACAGGGGTAGGATTTGTGTGTACTGGGACCAACTTTCTACTTGAGATATAATTCATATACCGTAAGGTATACCTTTTAAAAATGTCCCAATCACTAGTTTTTAGTACATTGACAAGGTTGTGCAACCGTCATATGATCTAGTTCCAGAACAATTCATAGCTCCCCAAAGAAACCCCCTCCACAGTTCTCCCCTCACCCCAGTCCCTGGAAACCACTCATCCACTTCTTGTCGTTGGGACATTTCCTATAAGTGGAATTGCACAGTATGTGGCGTTTTGTATCAAGGTCCTTGCACCTAGCATAATATCAAATCCATCCATGCTGTAGCATGTATCCATGCTTCATTTCCTTTATGTCTAAATAATATTCTTTTGTATGATATAATACATTTTTTTATCCATTCATGCATTAATGGACATTTTAGTTGCATCCAACTTTTGGAAATGTGAATAATGCTGGTATGAACTTGTGGGTACGAACTTCTGTTGCTATTTTAATATTTTAAATTGAGATATAATTGACACATAACATTGTATTACTTTAAGGTGTACAACACAATAATTATATATAAATATTGCAAAATGATTGCCACAAGACGTTTAGTTAACCTTCATCACCACACATAGTTTAAATTTTTTTTTTTTTGAGGAAAACTTTAAGTTCCACTCTCTTAACAACTTTCAAATATACAATACTGTATGGGTTAGCTATAATCATTGTGCTGCACATTACATCCCAGGTCTTCTTTATCTTATAACTGGAAGTTTGTACTTTTTGACCACATTTACCCATTTGGCCCACCCCGCAACCGCCTACCTCTGGCAACTTGAATGTGTTCTCTGTATCTCTAAGTCAGATTTTTAAAATTCTTATTTATTTTAAAAATTTTATTATTGTTATTTTTAGATTCCATCTGTGTTGACATAGCACCAGCGCTGTTTTACATTCCCACCAGAAAATGGTGGGGATATGTATAAGAGTTCTGATTTCTCTACACCTCTCTAACACTTGTTATTGTTGTTGGTCCTTCTTAACATCAGCCATGTGCAGGGGCTCTAGTCCCAGCACCTCAAGAATTCACAGAAAGATTCACCTACATCAAGGTCCCAGATGCAGAGGATGGAGGTAGGAGGCAGGCGGGAGAAGATGATCTGTGTTTCTAAAGCTGAAAGATTTTCCCTCCCTGATCCCCCATCCCCAGGCCATGCTGCTCTTGGGTCTCCTCTAACAATATATGCATAGTGATCCCTGAATGGGATTGTCATGTAAAAGCTCCTTGTGTTGAGACTGGAACAGGTGAGCAGGACACAGACTAATGGAGTTTTGATCAACTAAGGAGTAAGTCAAAGGTACAGGACAATGATGAGGGAAAAGGTGCAGGATGAACAATTACAAACATGAGGAGAGGGGCTTCTCAGTGAAGGCTGCATCACAGACCACTGTCTCTAGATAGAGCAGAGTTTCCTGGAACAGGAGCAGGATGAGTTTCTTTGGGCTCAAAGAGAAACGGACCCAAATCCCATAGGACAGAACCGAGAAGCTCAGCCTGGGCGTGGAAGAAGAAATAGGGTGACAAAGTAGGATAATGGCCTTCAGGGGGACAGAGCTATGGACGAAAGCTTCTGACTAGCACTGAATCCTCCTGAGACTAAGCTGCCAAGATTTGTCAGGCAGAGGTTGAGTTTGAGGCAAACGCACTAATTGATAAGGACCAGGAGTTTGCTTCCATTTAAAGAGGGCTTGGCTTAGTTCAACTGAGAAACTATTTCATACTTTTCTTCTGTTTCTGAAAAGTGCTCCGGGTGTTTAATAGGGAGGGTTGTGACATCCTGATGTCATACAGTGTCACAGAAGACCCAGCAATTTTCAGGAGTTTTTTCCTGTAAGTACTTGCCCACTTATGTCTTTAGGTATTTCTAAATATATAACCAACACTATTGGTCCCAGGAATCCAGACACTCCATAGAAGTCAAGAGGAAGTTATGTTTTCAGGAGCCACCCTGCTATTTCTAATACCTTTGCAGGTTGGTTAAGAAATATCCCCTCAGTTTTCCTGAACCGCACTTCCTCATGAAGGGCGTGAAGTTTAGTCAGGATTGTTAAGGTGCAAATCATAGGAGACATTTTATTTCTTCCTCCTTACCAGGTATGCAGTTGTGTCTGTCTACAAGGAAACTGGTTAGTGTAGAAGATTCTTCAAGCATCCAATTGCAGAATATCTGCCAATTACTGTATTCTCTATAGATGCAGGTGTAGATACAGATATGTTCTTTCACATTGGATAATGAGAGAACAGGGTTAATTAATTTTCTTTAATTT